TTTCTTTTACGACTCAAAGAAGGAACATCGATTAGGAGTATACACTAATAGGCTTCAACCATTTGGTCAATCCGATGTGTATTATTCTTTGTTATTGATCATTGTGACTCCATACAAGCTTCCACCATGGATGTGTATGAAGGAGAAATATATGGTCCTAATATTGATTGTGTCGAGTCAAACAAATCTAAAACATAAGTTAGATATTTACTTACAGTATTTCATATTCAAGCTTGTCCGAGTTATGGAAAGTAGGTATGGTGACTTATGATGTATATCATAAGTAGAATTTTTATCGAGAGTGTGGACTATCAATGACTTTCTTGCATATTCGATCCCATCTTGTTAGATTACCGCATAAAAACAAGCTTGTCCTTACTATATTAAAAATTCGAGTACTTTCTCCTTTCCTAATGGAAGGAAGACCTCTTAGTTTGACAATCACCAAAAGTTTCTTCCTTATGATCATCCATATAGAAGAAACAAGAAAAAATTCACCATAACAAAAGTTGTTAAATTTGGACCTCCTTTAATCTAATCTGGAGCAAAGATGTTACAATAGATAGAACAATAAGGGTTGTTGAAAGTGATAGAAGGTGGTGCGGATGATCATAACGAGTAGAATCTCTTAGATGTGTGGATGGAGAAAATGGAGTATTTTTTGGGATTTACCTTACCTAAGGATAAATTTCATTTTGCATAATTTAGATATCATGCATATTGAGAAAAATATGTTTGATAATATTTTTTAATACAATCATGAATATACTAGATAAGACTAAAGACAATGCCAACTCTAAAAAATACTTGAAACCTTTCTATAAAATGTCGAATTAGCAAAAGATGATGTGTCTCAAAAGTATCCTAAAGCTCGTATTTATCGTATCTAAACAGACAAAAAATAAAATTACTTGCATGGATAAAACAACTCGGGTTTCTAGATGGATATGTGTCCAATCTAGCTCGATATGTTGATATGCGGCATGAAAAACTTTATGAGATGAAAAGTCATGACTATCATGTCTTCATGTAGAGGTTACTTCCAATTGCATTTTGAAAGTTTTTACCAGGAAATGTTTAGCAAGTATTTATAGAGTTGAGTTTATTCTTTAAGTAATTGACTTCTACAAGTGATAAAGGAAAAAGATACGTTACAACTTAATGAAGAGATACCTATTATTTTGTGCAAACTAGAATATATATTGCTACCCGACTTTTTTGACTTCATAGAAAATCTTTCAATCCATCCGCCATATGAGGCATCTATTACGAGACTCGTACAATATCGATGGATGTATCCATTTGAAAGGTATTGATAATGAAATTAAATATAAAATTAAATAAATTTTAACTGTCGAAAATTAAAATAATTTATATTGTAGATATCTCGCAAAAGCTAAAAAATAATGTTAAGAATAAGGCTAAAGTGGAAAGATCAATATACAATGCATATTTGCTCGAAAAATGCTCCTTGTTTTGCTCATATTATTTCGAGCCTCATGTGAATACTAGGCATCGAAAAGTGTCGTGTAATGTTGAATGTGATGGAGAAGAAAGAAAACATATTGAAGGGATGTTATCCGTATTCAAACAAGTAAGGTTGACCAATTAGATGACACACAATATAAAAATTGACACAACTCGAATATCAAATAGCCCACCAATATATATTGTTGAATTATGAAGAAGTAAAATCTTACATTGAGTGAGTTTATCAAAATTTAAATTCTAGATCATACATATTTTATTACATATAATAATATTAGCAACATAGAAAAGATCGACTCATGTTAGTTGTTAATTCTCTTTAGTGGATTTCTTGCTGAAATGCAATTGAACAATCCCTTCATATCTAAGAATGAGGTCGATGCTCTAATTGAAAATGAGTTTACCTTATGATTTAATCAATATATGAGTATTATTATTTTCTTTGTATTTAGTATGTTGATAGCATTAATTAAAAGATAGCTAAACTTTTAAGAGATTTTATATTTAATTTACGTGACACAAAATGCACAAGCAATTTTCATGAAAGACTAGTTCTTGAAATATCTTGCACAAGAACCATTGCTTACTATAAGATCATACATCGACTATTTTATTAATGGTTATAGGTTCCAAACACTTTAAGGATCTTCAAAAATAGGATCTTTCAATAGTGGTGTCTTCATTAAAGGAAGTAATTAGAGTACGATTGAGAGTGACAATTACGATCGATAAAAATTCTTGAAGTAGATTGTTCCGTTGTACCAATCAAGAGAACAATATTGTTCAAATGTGATTGGTTCAATCCCACACTACAAGGAACAAGGGTTCATCCACAGTACAAACTTATGGATGTTAATTATAAAAGAATCTTGAACAATTATGAACCATTTGTTCTAGCTTCACAATTGACTTAGGTGTATTATGTGGAGTACTCTAGCTTAAGGTGCAAAAATCGAGATTAGTGGATCGTGTGTAAAATCAAAGCTAAGTCCGTGTTTGACTTGCTTAATTCATCAACTCGTCGGCTAACAAAATGTTGAACCATTTCACCTAGATGATCCGGAAATCGACATAAATTGATAGAGGAAATCGAGGACATCACTTTGTTGAATGATCTATATGGATCGTTTGTAGATATAGAAGTATGTGTGGTTAAGGAAGACGATGACAATGTCCGAAAATGCATCGGATGACGGAGATGATAACTTAAACAAGTGATTACGATAGTTCTAATTAAATATATTTATTTATTTATTTTATTATTAAGAAATGATATAATTTTTTTTCTTTATTAATTTGTTACATGCAATTAATAATATCGATTTTCATAGATTGGGTCATGAGCCGAGTTGTAAGTTGTTTCGGACGAGATAGTTCTTTCATCGATTTACGCTCCTAGCAAACAATGGTAAGTGTTTTTCAATATCAAATACTAAACATGGAAAGATAATCTAAAATTTATTTTAATCTTATAATGATGATATCATTATTTTGATTATATAGGAGCGTGTGAAACGACTCATCTAGGAGGCGATTGTGGTGTAGCAGGCGAAGGAATCCTAGAGCCGGAAGTTTACAAGAATGCCATATACATTGAGGTCGTCGGGAAGAAGAAGAAAAAGCTACATGGTGTAGGCACACGGGCGGTGCATTACTTGTCCTAGTCTAGTGGCGGCAGCTCCTTCTTTGCAATGTCGCATTACACTATCGACCCTATTAACGGCGAGCTTCAAAGGGACTACGAGGTTAAGAAGGAAACGATGAAAGGGATGCGGGTGAAACAAGACGAGCTCCAAAACCCGATCATAGAGCAACGAGGCTACTATACATAGTCTTAAATCTTAATATGACATGATGGCTTCCTTGGTGATGCGAGCTGGCACAAACAACTAGGGTGCTTATAAATCTATCGACCAATCCGGACCCTACCGTTCCTTCCACGCAGACCTCCCATCCAGCCTTCCGTTGAGCCTTCCTCATAGTATCGAGAGGAGGATAAGGGATTAGATGAGCGGGATGTGTGATAATGTACATATACATTTTGTGAGGGACTATGAGGTTACGAAGGAAGTGATGAAAGGGATGCGGGTGAAACAAGATGAGCTCCAAAACCCGATGATAGAGCGACAAGCTACTATACATAGTCTTAAATCTTAGTATGACATGATGGCTTCCTTAGTAATGCGGTTGGCACAAATATCCGGGGTGCCTATAAATCGTTGACCAATCGGGACCCTACCGTTCCTTCCACGTAGCCTCCCATCCAGACCTTCCGTCGAGCCTTCCTCACGGTATCAAGATGAGGATAGGGGATTAGACGAGCGAGGATGAGTGATAATGTACATATACATTTTGTGACTTTGTTTTTTTGTTTTAATCGAATGTACTATTGAATGTTATTGTTAATATTAATTTATATTTAATCTCTACGTTATTACTTTTAATTGTTAATTATTACATATGATATTAATTATTAAATATTAAATACAATATTAATAATTTAAAAATAAAAAACAAAACAAAATGTAAAAAAAATATTTTATTTTTTCAAAAAAAAAAAATGGTATTACAACGGATCAACAAAAAATTCCTCTCTTACATTTAGCGACGCCTTAACTTACCTTCGGATATTAACAACGGATAATCGATCACTATTCAACGACAAGATTAACGACGTCGGCCACGATAGGTTTCACGATAAAAATATCCATCGTTAAAATTAGCAACAAGTGATTTAGCAATAGGTAGATGTTCTGTTACTAGTTGCTTTTTTTTTTTTTTAGTGAAAGTCCTGACCTTTTATATAATTTAAAGTATTATATTCATTTTGCAAGTACGATGAATGTCAATGATAAAGAAAATTGTATGGATTCTTCCAAACTTGTGAGCAACCAGAACCAGTCAAGACATGTCTCTATGGGTGGAGGGCTTGCTTTTACAGTAGTGTCGCTGGTTTTAGGTTCTTAATTAATTTCTTGGGTTTTAGCTGTCAAATCCTAAAGCAGATTGTGATTTGAAAAAATAAAAGGTGCAAATGATCACTGCATTCTCAATATATATAAGTGCTTACGCACAAATAGGTGGGTTGGTTTAGTTGGCAAAGAAAGCAGATGACGAATTGGAATTTTGTGAGGGATCAGATGCCATCATATATCATGATATATGGTAATCTTAAAAATGATTCAAATTACTTTGGGGGAAAATGTAAAATTATTGTAAAATAATTTTAAATATAAGGACTAAATTAGAAGATTAAAACTTTGAGGCTGTCATGGCCCTGCAAAGCACGAGTATAGCGTGGGGTCTCGAGTTATGGATACAAGATTAAACACACTTTATGATGAGTGTACACGTATATTTAATTTCCACCAAAAAAACACATATTAGATTATGGTTGAATGGCAGCATGTCCACATGAATCTAGTTTGTAAATGGATTCTATATATTATAGTATTATTGCTTCAGTTGAACATGACTGCACACAGGAATAATTAGTAGCCAACAGTGGTAGACTAGACTCGGAAGTACAAGAGGTTGAGGTCTATGTCCTGAGGAATCTTACGTTGGGAAGGGATTTCGGGAAGCAGATTTGCAATTAGTTTAGCTCTTGTCAAATATGATTCAAACTTATTAATATCGCTATTGTTTTCTTTATCTACTACGCCCTTCAATTCCCTTTTCTTGAAAGTCCAGGTACCAGTTTTCCAATTGAAGTGATATAATGGAAGAAATCGCTGGCCGTAAATGGCTATAAACTCAATTGCAGTCAGAATGAACTCAAATTCCTCATTGGACATGGAGTACGGGAAGCTAACTCTCGTCCATCCTGGCTTCACTCCAGCATAACCCTGTAATTAAATTAAGTTCGAAATAAGGGCATCAAATTCTGCTATATATTCTACAACTACAACATTTACTTTCGTCGGTAAACATATTTTAAGAAAACTATATACCTTTTCTATGGCAGATCTGAAGGCCAGAGAGGTAGGCTCATTGACATGCAGCAAAGTGTGACCATAAGGTCCAGCACAAGCACAACCACCTCGAGCTTGAATACCAAATAGGTCATTAAGGAGTGCTGCTACGAAAGGTCCATGAAGAGGTTTGCCTCTTTCGTTCCCCGTCTCTCTCCACATGTAAAGAATCCCATCATTGATGTCTTCGCTATCAATTCTATTACTCTCATGTTTTATGCCAGTTGAGGAAGAGTTTGTCGTAGAGTATATGAGGAAGGACAAAATAGCTTGTCGTTTGGCTGTTGTAGTGTTACCTAAAACCCATATATTCTTATTTGGAACAAGGCTGTTGAGTGCCTTTTCTGTGTACATTTTCTCTTGTTTCTCAATCACTTGGTAGCTAATGTACTCTTTAACCCAAAAGGCCAATGCAGCTCTAATGGTTTGGGTTATTTGAGGAGTTCCACCATTCTCTCTCTCTTCTATGTCGTTCAAGTACAATGTATGCTGCAATTGATCATGTAGAAATATTAATTCGAGTTGACATCCAAGCTAAGGCTAGCTCATTGTCTTGGAGGAAATATATAAGGCATACCTTTTCATTGAAACCATTTACATAGTTAACAGTTCCACCTCCACAAGTTGATGGAGCAGAAGATCCCAACTGATAAAGGGCTTTGCTCATCAGAAGTATTCCCGGCGATCCAGGCCCCCCAAGAAATTTGTGTGCGCTAAGGAAAATTGCATCATAACCATCAATCTCTCCAGATCTCATGTCTATTTCCACATATGGACCGCTACATGACCAAAAAAACAAAAAGAATATAAGACCAAGAAGTTAGCAATTTAATGATGCAATAAACAAAATTAACTTCCAGCGGTGCCTGTCATGCATGGACAGTTGAAATTAATTAATTATTGCATTAATCAATAAAAAATGAGAAGGAAAAACAAGAATAACTTGGATTACCTTGCAGCAAAATCAAAACAAGCAAAACCACCATATTGATGAAGAAGTTGAGCAATTCCTCGAGTATCTGAGCAAATCCCAGTCACATTGCTACAGGCTGAAAAGGAACCCAAAATGGGCCTGTTGGCACATTTATATGATTCAAGTCGTCGTCTTACATCTTCCACGTCTATCAAACCATCGTCATCTAAACCTATTTCTACCACTTCAGCTAAGCTTTGTCTCCATGAGAGCAGATTCGAGTGGTGCTCATAAGGACCGACAAAAACCACCCATCTCTCTTCGTTACCTAGGCATTTAATTGCCCTCTCTCTCAAAACTGATGGCACGGCAATGCCCATCACTTCTTGTAATCTTTTAATAGCTGCGGTTGTGCCTGAGCCACAAAACATGATTGCATCATTTTGCCCACCACCTAAGCATTTCTTGATATACTCAGCAGCTTCATGCAACATTTTTGTGGTCCGATGCCCCACATGACTGTCACTAGTGTGTGTATTCCCTGTGCATACATTAATTCCTAATGGTTAACTCAGTAGAAAATTACTTTTTTTTTACAGAAAGGTGGTAAAGTTGCATAGTACGGCCTACATATTTAATTTGTTTAAATTAATGGTGGAAATCCAACTATCCAAGTGCCATTAAAGTATTAATCCACATCAATTTAATTCAAAACTTAACTGGTTACATTAATTTGGAAGATATGAGTATCTAACCTGGCGAACTAATTAACTACCAGAAGATATTACCAACTACTCTTCAAAAAAAAAAAAAAGTCAAGCAATATTTTTGCTGACAAAAGTCATGGTATCATAGTTTTAAATAGTGATTGCGATTGTAATTACGGATCATGACTTATCGTGATAGTAAAATAACGATCACGACAACTAATATCGTAAATACAATAACAAATATTAATAAATTTATTCTAATTCATATATTTTTAACATTTTTATTAATTAAGCATATGAATAAGTAATAACATATTCTAATTTCTATAAATTTATTCGAGTGTTAACTATGTTTAATGTGAGATATTTTATTTCATATTTTTTTCATCATTCTTATCGTGATGTAAATTTATTTTTTTATTTTTCTAATTTTTAGAAAAAAAAAAAGAAAACAAATTAGAAAATAACACAAGATTAAAAACCATGGCTAAATAATTAGTTTTTGAAACAAGAAGAATCAACTACTTTATTTTTGCAAACTAAAGCAACTAATTTATAATTCACTCAATTAAAGCCTCCATTTGTTGCCCATCACTCAAGACGGACAACCCGAAGTAAATTATAGGTTTCGATAGTCCTTAATCTTTTAAAAACTAATTATTTAATCTTTTGATCATGTTTAATATCGTATATTTCATTCTATAAAATGTTATTTTATTCCACACAAAAAAAAAATTTTCATTAATCTTTTCATGATATAAATTTATTTTTTATTTTTTCAAACAAAAAAGGAAAATAAATTAGAAAATAACATAAATGAAAAACAATAAGTAGATAATTGTTTTTTTAAAAATAAAAAGGACTAGCTAATTTATTTTTCCAAAGTAAAAGAACTAATTTAATATTTATTCAATCAAGCTTGCAACTCTAGCATTTGATTCTTATTCTTTAACAAAATAAACTCTCAAATTCTAAATCTAAATTGGTTGATTTCTGTTTTTTTTTTTTTATGTATAACATCATTATATAACGGTAAATAACGGTATTATATAACAATAATATCGTTATTTGCTATTATACTTATGAAACGGCATCGAGGCGGTCATAACATCGAATAACGGTAACGAGGTCTCCCGAAATCGTTATATAACAATTGTTATGTTATATAATAATTTTTTAAAAAAACTATTAATGGAATTGTCTAGAGCAACCAAATTTTCGTCTCAAAGAGGAAATTGAATTCTTCAAAATCATAAAAAAAACCTATTAGTTCAATGACAAATTCAATGTCAAGTTTGATTGTTTAATCTAAAAAGTTGCAACAAAAGAAGTAAATGATACAAAATTAGTTGATTAACATAATATATGTGGAAGAAAATCAACTTTCTTAATTCATATTCTGAAAAGTCTGGCGTATTGCAAAAGTAACAAAAATGAAGAAAGTAAAACAATAATAACTTATTACCGTAAAAGGGAAGAACATTGTTGATTATAAAATTTTCTATATAGTAAAGAGGTCGGCCGGAGGCAGTATGATCAGCATAGGTGAGTCTTCTTTTTCCAAAGGGAGAATCAAACTCTACACCATCACCAACGATTTGAGAGCGCAACCATGCCAGTTTTTTTTCAGTGGAGTTACTCTTTGGGACACCAATATTTAGTGTCCTAAAGAATTTGGAGCAACGGCAAAGATCTTTAATAGATGATGATATTGAAGAAGATGAGGAACCAATACCACTACTAATACTTATTGTAACCGATGACGAGTTATTTGCCAAAATGGTGGAAGTCTTAGTCTCGTTTGAGGTCATAGCTTGAGCACTAGGAGTGGCATCTCTCGGCATGGATTGCTCTGGTTCCATTTCCAAGTTACAAAACTAGAAAGAGATGACGATGGTATGTTGAAGGTAACTGGGTTTGATGGAAAAAATAAATAGCATACTATGAGTAAGCATAACGCTAAGTACACTGACAATGTTATTAAAGATAAATTATAAAATCTTTTTTAAATATTATGAAATTACAGTGAAGTTTGAATATATTATAAAAACAATCCTCAAGTTTAGGTAAATATTACAAAATTCTTTGCGTATCCAAAATGTGCTTAATATTTTTTAATTAATTATTCTCTTTAACATTAAGAGCCTTTTGGTACGAAAAAAAAAAGTTGTAATACCTTTTGGTACAAAAAAAGTTGTAATATCTTTAAATTTTTGGATGATAACTGTAATTGCATGATATCTCGAGAATTATTATAATTTATATATTCTTTTATTAATACTAATTTTCTAATTGATGAGTCCATTCATTATTTTTTAAAGAAAATAATTATGAGACAATTATAATATACTTACGTCATTGGGTACTTACGTCATTGGGTGATTTATCATTCCAGCAGATACTTACGTCATTGGGTGATTTATCATTATAGAAGATTGAGAATTTGACTAATTGTGATGTGAACTTAACTAAGTTAGTATTTCTTCAATAAAATCTTAATTATGAGAATATTGAAAGATTCATATATATATATATATATATATATATATAGATACGTTTCTTTTTATGCGTGGCATATGATTTCCACACCAGAAACAGTCTAATCATCTCTACCTGGTTTTGTGCTTGACTAGAAATAGTTTTTTTTTTTTTTTTTTCCTTTTTATACCAACGATGACATTTTATTTTATTCTTTTCTATTTTTTTTTCAAGAATAAACATAAGATTTCATTAAAGCAATAAAGGGTTAGCATTAATCATAGAATCAGAGGCAGCTAGCGAAACAATCTTTAAAAAAGAAAAAGAAAGAAAAGAATGGTAGCTAACAATCTTTGTACAGAAATGGAATTAGGTAAGTCTATGTTGGGCTTATGGTTTTTATTTTTTAAAGTAGTGATTAAATAAATAGAGTAGAGTAATGATCAAGACATAATAAAATAGTTTTTTAAACTTTATAAAATTAGTTACTAAATTTATTATTTTTTCATCCTCCAAAATTTTGATAATTATAAATAGGTGAGTAGATGCGTGTTTTTGAGACATACAAAACACAAGGATTGAAAAGTTTTCTTTAAAGTGTGAAAGTGGATGCATGTTCTTTAAATAAATAGAGTAGAGTAATGATCAAGATGTAATTAAATAGTTTTTTAAAACTTTATAAAATTGGTTACCAAATTTATTACTTTTTTATCCACTAAAATTTTGATAATTATAAATAAGTGACAAGATGCGTGTTTTTGAGACATGCAAAACACAAAGATTGAAAAGTTTTCTTTAGAGTGTGAAAGTGGATGTACAAAGAGTTTTGCGATTGAGTTTTGGATATAAAAATTAAAATTATATTCTTATATTAATTTTCTTTTATAATAAAGAATTATTCTCATATTTTTAGAATATGCAGAGTTTTGCCGAACCACTTTGTGTGTCTACTTTTTTTTTTTTTAATTCTTGAATTAGATTGTTTGTGATAGTGTGTTTTCGATTTTTTAAATTTCCCAGCAATCTCTCTCGGTGTTGTAAGATTTACTTAAGATAAACAAGCCGTTTTCTAGCTATTAAATATCCCAATAAATTTTATATGTCTGCTTGTTCTTTTTTCCCTATTATTTGTCTAATTATGCACACATGCTGCATAACTAATTAAAGACATTAACGTTTGATAGGAAAATAATACAAACAACATTTGACAAGGGCGATAATTACTTATAGCACATTAATAATTTTTTAATGGATTAAATGAATTTAATTAGTATTATTATTATTATTTTATATTTGAGTATATTAATTTTTAAAAAATTAACAATCAATTAATTTCGTTATTTATTTTATTTTATTTTTTATTTATTTATTTATTTTTATTTTTTTTTGATAATGTGACAATTGCTTTAGACCAACTAATTTCAAATTTGAGCCTTTTTCTATAAGGTTATGTTCCTTCCAAATGATAGTGTATCTAACAAATAAAAATAATTTTAAAATAAAATAAATCATCTTATTTGGTTAAAAGTGAAAGCGTATATGAAAGGATTATTTTTCTTTTTATTTTATGATTTTTTCTATTTTACGATCACATGATATCTTCGAATTATTTTTCAAGTGGTTAATTAAGTTCATCTCTAATAGGATAGGTTCATTAGCCTCGTTCCAGCGTAGTCTAACAGAAAAAACTCAAACCCACAACGCCGAATTCATGGAGCCCAACTCAGGCTCATAAGTCATATATAGTATATGGCAATAACGCATCAGTCCAAAACTCCCGAAGGATGGCAACAACACCCACCCATCCCCACCCCCCGGCAAAAAAAAAAAAAAAAAAAACTCACCACTCTTCTCCACTATTATTAAGAAGGGCAAAAATTTAATGAAGATCCTCTCATGATGATGTTAATTAAATCATCATTTATCATAATTGCACTAACTTTGTCGCAGATCACATGTAATGGTAACAGAGCACTATATAAAAACTCATTCCACCACAGATTTTGATAAAAAGTTCAAAACATGTTTTATATCTGGACAATTCCCTCTCGTTTGTAAATTACTGACAAACAATTAAATATTTTCTCCAAAAAAGGAATTGCTAGTTCGTTACCTTTCAATCATTAATTTGATCGTTAGAAGGTTCATCATCCAATCAGAAAAACTTATTTTACAAGTATTGAGGACAAATGAATCATTCAATATTTTGAGTAGTCATTCAACTATCATTATCGTCTACGTAAGTTATGTTTTTTAATTTTACTAAATAAGTCACTCTACTAATTAATTTTTATGGTTAGTTCAAAAACAATATCCACCTAACCTTAGACTAAAATATATTTAAAACTAATAAGAAATACATTATTGATAGCAAGCATACAGGTTGGAGAAACTATCAACCGTCATCCCAAATACCAATTAATCCTCACAAATATACACTCTCCGTTTTGGTTTATACAACTCCGACAACTAGATAATATGGAATACAACGTAATCCTAACAGGTAACATGCTTTCAGTTCTGCATTCATGGCAGTGGGTGAGTGAAGATGCCATCAAATAAGACTGTGGATCACAATAGACCAGGATCCATAAATAAAAGTTATTACAGTCAAAAACTCTTGTCAACCTTGAGAATTTTCAAGCTACCATTTTTGGATGTTTTGCCACCCTGCAGCTTATCTTAGTTGTTAGGCAGTTAGGGCCCTCTGCTTCAGGGGTTAGAATTTTTCATTGATCAGGTCTCGTTTATGTAAGAATTAGAAATTCCATTTAGTATCATGGTTAGTGGTTAATGAGACAGAAGAGATTTATTATCACAATAGAAATTGATCATCGCCATAAATTTGAATTGAACAGCACTAACGGAAATGGTCAGTTTTGGTCAATTTATTCCTTTGTATATTTAAAGAATTGCATGCCCACTGCAACTAATTTGAACCGGAAGATTTCACTTTGTAGGGTGCGTAGCTAAGGTATATTGGAGGAAAAGGTGAGCATTTCCATTACAAAATGCCAAAAAGTTTCCCTTGGAGTTTATTTTCTTAGTAGGGTAGTTTCGAAACTTAATTTTCAAGTTAAAGTAGTTCCAATCTTATTCATTAAAATAGGATGTTTATGCCATATAAGACGAACATCTCAGCTTCTTTGCAATAACCACGCCAGCGAAAACAACAGTTGATAGCAGACTTTCTTTACGTGGGGAGAGATCCCACTTATGCACCAAAGACTTTCTTCGCTTGGTGTCGGAGTTTGTTTGTTTGTTTGTTTGTTTTATCCCATTTTTTAGTGCCAAACAGATATTGAAAGATAAATTAATGAAAAATATTTTTCAATTAACTTTTGAATAATGCTTATTTAAAAGGAAATGTTTTAATCTCATGGCTGGAGAAAATATTTTTTTTAGTATTATCAACTTAGAATATTTATGAGTATCATAACTTAATTATTTTAACAAATACCACTGACACTTTTATTATCGTTATTGTTATTCAAAATTATCATTTAATTATTTATGTAACTATCATTTTTTCATAATTTCTATAATAACTATCATCACTTTAATATTATTATTATCATAATAATAATCACTACTACTAGATATTGTTACTATCGCAACTATTAGATATTGTGACAACAATGACCACCACTGTGAATACTAATTTTATCAAAACATATACTATAAATATTACCTCCACTGTTTCTATTACTAATACTATACTTTTTTCTCATCCTATTATATCATTCAAAATCCATCGATAAAAAACAATTTTATTTACAGAAAAATATTTTCTTAATATATCCAAATAAAAAAATACCTTATGTTCGAAAAAGATATTTCCACATAAAGATAAATATAATTTTCGCAAAACAAAGTCGCTTGCAGTTTGTTTACTCCATTTACAATTTTTTTTATGCATACGCGAGAACATAAAAAAATCATGCTGCGGCTAAGAGAAATCATCATCTTTTTGATACGTATTAAATCATTTTGTTTTTTTTTCAAATGTAAAGTTGGAGAAGATTTGGACCAAAGAATATCCACAATTATAGTTTTTGGTCGATGTTATTTTATATTAGTTTGGGTGGGCATGCCCTAACCACATCATTACAGAAAAAGTCAATATTGATACGTATTCTGTTTTCGCCTCTTTTTATCCTAAAAGCATACGCACCCAGAAATTGGGCCAGTTGAGTTTTGCCTCGAAGAAAACAACTCTCTCTCTCTCTCTCTCTCTCTCTCTCTGGGTTATGGATGGAGAAATAAGGAAGAAAATTAAAGGCGTCGTTAATATTAACTATTATTATTTGTATTAGTCTCAAAGCAGTTGCCCTCAATATTTATATCAAAACTAATTTTTGTAGGATCCATTTTTTTTTTTATA